TTTTTCCCTGACAGAAATGGATGTGCTACTACAAGCATATAGTGACTACGAGCCCATATTTCGTAAAAAATAAAAAAAACAACACGGCTGCAGTGGCGAAAGAGAAAGAGTTAGCTTGGGGGAAAATAGCTGCCCGAGTCAATGCGTACGTTTACATTTTAATCATACAGTGTTCGGTGTAAGTAATTACTAACTAATGTTAGTAATGTTATTATTTGTCACTTGTAAAGTAAGGAATGGTTCTTAATTCTTCAATAATTGAATGAGTAACTTCAGTAATTGCATAAAATACCGATTTTTGTACGAATTAAAAGTGCAGTTTTATGTCTACCCTTTCTTAAAATTCCTATTGTGGTTGATATGGGATTTGTAAAGTAATGATTAATAAATAATCCAATACATTTTATGGAGAGTAATTATTACATCAATCAAAATACTTTTTTAAGATTTACCCAACACTGATGTAATATAAGAATTGAATTTTAATTTTCATGTAGGTGCATTGATGGGAATATGTGTGCCATCAATGCATCCAACCACATTTGGAAATCCTGAAGGGGATTCTAATTATTAGTTTATTTCCAGAGGTCACATCAAGATGTTATTAACTGATCATCATTTGTCAGATTAGCCTTACTGAAACGAATTCAATACCACTAACCTGCAATCCTGTGAAACTCCTCTTTAATGGCTCTGAGGGGTTTGTGCCCAGGAAACACAACAAAAATTCACAGAAAGCGCTTGAGGGTGAGGCACACTTTCCAAACTATTCTACATACTGTGGCCTTACTTGCTCTGCATCCCCGATGTTATAAAGAAAACTGCCGTTTGCAACAAATCGTAACGCAACACAAAGCATCTGCTCGGATGTAAGAGCACGGCCACGATGGGTGATGTGTCTGATGTATGGGTGGATAAGATTATTGATATATGTTATGGACTCTCTAGAAAAACGGTACCGTTCAAATAAAAATACATGGGGATATGACAAAAAATCAACTCGTGGCCTCAAAATCCTCTCGCGACATAAATTCAATTCCCTGCGAATTAATATAGCCTCCTCATCTACAGGATCCTCTATAAACCACACGGTTTACTGTCATATTAGCGTTTTCTCTCTCTCTCTCTCTCTCTCTCTCTCTTTCTTCTCCCTCTAAAGCCCCTTCAAGCTCCCTCTTTTATCCGCAGCTTTCCTTAGGTTGTTATGTCAATTTCTGAACTTGGCTTCCTGTCTCCAGTTTTGGGAGACAACACCCTGAGATGTACTCAAAAACAGGAAACATCTTGGCCAAATTATATAAGCTTATTGTTCAGCTTAAACTTAAAGTGAACCCATAAACACTATTCTATTATATAATCCATATTAACATGTTACTTAAAACACTACAGAGATGCAACAGATTACATAAGACAATTGGTTACTGCTGTATTGTGTTAATATTTTTCACAAGATCTCCCAGACCTAACAGCACTCAGTACAGTGTTTTTGCATATTGGTCACTGTCGTCCTGTTTCCAGGAGATAGTGGGAAGCTGCAGTGGACAGGAAACTGGGTGACCTTTCTGGACACCATGCTGCAAATGATTGTGGTTGGGCTGTCAGGTCGTAGTCTGCGTTTGCCAACCAGAATCCGCTCTGTGTGTGTCGATCCAGCTGTCCATCTGGAGAAGGTCTACGAGTACACTGATGGAAAGCAAGGTGTGTGTTATCATTCTATTAAGAATTCATTTTCTGTAATCTGTTTCTGCACATAAATTTACACACAGGTTTTTAATGCTGATACAGTGTCAGCGCTACGTGGCCTGTTTTGCATGGCGGGGGGGCCAGTAATGTGTGACATAATACATGTTGAGTTTTAATGGAAACATATGGTCCACACCAAGTGTCTTGTATGATTGTTCCTCGCCCCTTGATCGATTGAGAATATCCCAAATCTCTGAGGATACACAAGAGCATCCTTCACTGAAATCTTTAATTAACTGACATACCCCTCGATCAGAAATCAGTTGGTGATTGGACACTTCAGATGATGGGATCAGAGGGAAAGACACCATGTTTCCTTGATTGCTCTCTCCTCACATTTTTTCCTTGTATGTTTCCCTTGCATCTTACATGGGCTGGACTGAGACGCATGCAAGCGAGCAATACGTGGCTGTACTGTGTATATAAGAGACTTGGTCTGTAGCCACAATTTCTTTACAGTATGTAGACAGAAACCAATAGCACACAGACCAGCACTGCTTATACACAGACAAGGCTGCCTTCATGAGATCAAATTTCAGATTCATTTAAAATTATATATCTCACATTTGGGTAGAGAAGCTTATTTTGGACCTGATTACAAACATGTATATCTTCTGTAAGTCTTGAACTCCACATCAAACTTCTCTACCCCCCCACCCCCTCCTCTAGCTGCAGATGTCCATGTCAACCGCTGCCTTGACAGCATTGTTTCTGGTGGAGTCCAGATCTGTGGGCTGCACGCCACTGTGGCCCCACGTCGGCAGCAGCAGCAGGGTCCCCCCACCCTGGAGGAGTATCTGTTTGTTCCTTATGTGAAGACAGAGTGCCTGACAGCCAGTGGGAAACTTGCAGAGCAGCTGAGGCTCTGCAAAGGTAAGCGGATAAACAGAATGTGAAGTAGGGGTTTATTCATTAAGACAGATTGGTGATTATTCTGAGATCTTGGATATCAGAGTGTCTTTAAGTGCACCACCAGGGTTAAAAATGGTCTTTGCATTATTTACTTCACAAAGTTATAACTGCTCCAAAGCATTTGCAAACCTATGATAGCCCACAGACACTAGGGGTCTGTACCGCAAAGCCAGATTAGTGGCTTATCCTACAAACTTTGGGCTCAGCTCAGGTTTTCCGGTACCACGAAGCTGGCTCACTTTTAATTAGGCTAGATCACCACAGTGACTTATGCTACATGGCTAACCTGCTCTGGAGCAGGTTAACTTCCAAAACCTGTCAATAACCTGATCACCAACCAATCAGATCGCTGGAAAAACTATGCAATCATTCCTACTGGATCCTAACAGGGTCAGAGTCTACAATAATGTGATAAGTAATAGAGATATTTTTATAGAGCAGTCGTATTATTGTGCAGGTTCAGGCTTTCTGGATTTCTAACAAACTGAGTCTGAAGTGTCGTGGCAGGAGTGTGATACCGACTAAATTAATTCAGACAAACCATTACAATTTAAAGGATCATTTAATATTACAATTATTCCGAATAGAGTAGTATTTAAACAGATAATCTTGTAGTTAGGGAACAGAGATCAGAGAACAGAGACTCGCCTCTTGCAATGGAATAGATAAAGCATAAGAAGATTGTCAGAACACTAGTCAGTCAGGTCATTGGTTGTCGACCCCGAGTCAGTCAGCGTCTTCCCCAGCCGGCTGGGTCCCCAAAAAGTACATCGTCTACTGTTCACTGCAGCATGGTCCT